ATATATAATTTTCTTCTTCTCTTCAAGCCACTGCCTCCTTGTCATGACTCTAAGGAATCTATGCAGGTGTACAAACAGCACTGCAAAATAGCAGAAGAGTACCATGAGGTCAAGAAAGAAATTGCTCTGCTGGAAGAAAGAAAGTGAGTAACTTTCCCAAAGTATTCACTGTTGTATATTCTCTTTGTAAAATCCTGTTTTAAACATGAGAGTTTCACATCATATTTTCTGGCCTTATAGGTCTGCCTGACAGTCACAGTGTAGCACAACACTTAGGCCATTGGTCCATAGGATCAACTGGGACCACTAAGGACTTAGAGCTGTCCTAGCTCTAGGCCCTCAGTTATACAGATACCCCTTAAAACTTTCACTGACAGCCTCCAGGTCACATAATGATCTGGTTCAGCTGGTGCAAGTCCCCTTTTTAGTTTTAGGATTTTTTTTTGTTAAATTTAACTTTACATGTTCTAATGAAGAGTATAATGGATTCACAGTTAGGTTTAGAGTACTTGAAAATATTAGTAAACATGTTTCTGTGAGGTGCATTGTCTCTATGTAGATTGACGTTTTAGGTGTTCATATCCAAAGTGCATAAACAGGAGACATTTTTCTCGTCTGTGGCTATACTCATACCCCTGTCTTCTTTGCATGACTATTAAATGGCAAAGTGCACTTTGTGACTCTCAATGCCTTTCCACAAGAAACCTGAAAAAGAAATTCAGAGAGAGGAAAGAGGGTGGGTGGTGAAAGTTTTTAACAGACAACCAACCCCAAGGAATAGCAGTTACTGCTACATAAACTTTCTCTTTCAAATGCTTTTTTATTTTTGCATTCACACTGACGGTGATTTCAAGCAGTGTTGCCTTTCTCAGGGAGAGCAGATCTCTCAGACTTCTTGTGAAAATGAAGACCATGCAATCATTCTTCCAAGTGCTGCTTGAACAGAAACATTTGTATATAGCAACAGGGGTCAGAAGAGCCCTGTTGAAGAGCGGGCTTTGGGTGGAAGGTGGACCATTGTGTCTGTTTCATAGCAATCTTCACATAGCTGACCGCGTGGTTCAGCCAAATTTGTATCTATGGGAGTCTTCATCTGCAGAAGCAAGCTGGTGGGATGGAAACTGGTGAAGTAAGATAGCCAAAGATTTCCTTGAATCCACATTATTCAGGGTAAGAAAGTGAGACTTGTTCTTATTGTGGTTGATGGCTACAGGTGCAATATAGTTAGTTGTTGCCTAAAGTGTCAGAAGTAGTTGAGGTTTCCCACTACCAATCCCCTTCCATTGTAGGACCTGCATGGCACTTAGTTGCTGACAGATTGGAACAAAAGTTAAAAAAGAAGAAAAATTTACCAGAAAATATTAACTCTACATTTTCCCAGTGTTTGCAGTTGATTAATCATTAATTGGCCAATCCAAAGTAATTGGTGTTTTTTAAAAGACATAAAGAAGATAATTAATTCAAATAATTTTGCAATTATTTGTCAAATTTAGTTGTCTAATATAAGCTGTTTGCATGTGTATTTAGCAACCAAGTGAATTCAGTGGAAACCATGTGTGTTTGTCTTCTCTGAAAATCTAAGCTGAATATAAAATATAAATGGTTGTTTAAGTGCTTAACTTTAGACGTATAAACTAAAAATGTAACCTTAGATCCTTTAGTTTTTAGAGTCTACTAATATAAATGCATTATTATTACTGACACATCCCTGAATCAGTTATGCACATTTATGAAGTAAGCTTGGAGCCCTTGAAAACTAAACTGACATACATATTTTTGAATTTACTAGAATGAAAAAAAAAAAAATGCTGTTTGAATGCATTTGCATTTATCTATGGTACTAGCTGAATCAGAAATATTTTGCTCCTTGAGAATGGCAGATATATGCACAAAATTGTTTACCTGAACTCAAAATTATCCTAATCAACCTCTGAGCCCAGAAGTCAGCCTTCCAGCAGTGGTTATCCTGGATTAATTAAGGGGCTTCAGGCTGGCATTTTCCTTCATTCCACCAGTGGATGTCAACAGCAGAACAATGTGAGGAAGTGGAACACTGGCTCAATGGTTGTGCCCAAAGAGTGGTGGTGAATGGAGGTAAATCCAGTTGGCAGCTGGTCATGAGTCCAGGGCTCAGTACTGAGCCAGTCCTATTTAACATTTTTATCAATGATCTGGATGAGGGAATTAAGGGCACCCTCAATAAGTTTGCAGACGACACCAAGTTGGGTGGAAGTGTTGATCTGCTGGAGGGTAGGGAGGGTCTGCAGAGGGACCTAGACAGACTAAATTGATGGGCCAGGACCAATTGCATGAGTTTCAATAAGGCCAAATGCTGGGTTCTGCACTTTGGCCTCAACAACATTTGGCAGTGCTACAGGCTTGGGGAAGAGTGGCTGGAGAGCTGCTCAGCAGAGAAGGACCTGGGTGTGTTGATTAATAGCCAGCTGAACATGAGTCAGCAGTGTGCCTAGGTGGCCAAGGCGGCCAATGGCATCCTGGCCTATATCAGGAATAGTATGGCCAGTGGGACCAAGGAAGTTACCTTACCCCTGTACTTGGCACTGGTGAGGCTGCACCTCGAGTACTGTGTTCAGTTTGGGCCCATCACTACAAGAAGGACATGGAGGTGCTGGAGCATGTCCAGAGAAGGGCAACAAAGCTGGTGAAGGGACTGGAGAACAAGTCTTGTGAGGAGCAGCTGAGAGAACTGGGGTTGTTTAGCCTGGAAAAAAGGAGGCTGAGGGGAGACCTCATTGCTCTCTGCGACTACCTGAAAGGAGGGTGTAGAGAGGTGGGGGTCAGTCTCTTCTCCCAGGTGACAAGTGATAGGACGAGAGGAAATGGCCTCAAGTTGCACCAGGAGAGGTTTAGATTGGATATTAGGAAGAATTTCTTTACTGAAAGATTTATCAGGTTGCCCAGGGCAGTTGTTGAGTCCCCATCCCTGGAGGTATTTAAGAGTCATGTAGACAAAGTGCTTAGGGACATGGTTTAGTCAGGGTCTTGTCAGTGTTAGGTTAATGACTGATTATCTTAAAGGTATTTTCCAATCTGGGCAATTCCGTGATTCTGTGAAGTTTCCACCACCGACCTGTTCTGTGGATAGAAGATTTCATGCTCCAGTAAACACATGTTAAAAGAAAAGTGGCTGAATAAGGCAGCAAATAGAATTCTATTACTGTGATTCTTATGTGCCTTCTAATTACATATTTGTGGCCTAGATATTCACATGCTGTGTAGCTGTGAAATGTCTAAACATGACAAATGCCTATACATGACAAAAAGTGCAGCACCTTTTACTACCGTCCAGATCTTTTAATCTGAAGAAGTGGTCCTATAAGCACTGGGATTGAAGATGCTTAATTTCCTACAGGTTGGTGCACTGTGGTTATTTGCTTTTGAGGTTTAAAAAGCTGCAAGTGCCAACTGAAGCTTTTTTCCTCTAGATGGGAAAAAATTTATTATCCCTCCTGACAGATTCTCCATTTCATAGTATTTTGGAGGAGGGCTCATGATACTGCCTTTCCCCTTCGGGGTGTCTTTCCTTTCTGTAGCAGTCTATTTTTATAAAACCTTCCAGAAACTAATTGGGACCTCTTCATCACATGAAGTTTGGTTGAAATTAGAAGGTGGATTAAGAAGTTATTAGGACATATATACCTTTACACACCTGTAAGTATACACAACCTGAACACATTAACCTTGATTTTTATATAAAACTAGATAGAAAAGGGGTATAAGTATGGAGGTGAAGGAGTAAGCAAGAAGTAAAAGAGACTTTTTTGTTCTAGTGATCACTGATTTATATCTAAAAATGTTCTCAACGGTTAGAGTTTGAAAGTTATGTTTATGGTTAGCATATGCTGAATGAAGAGGAGAAGAGTAGATTACAATGGCTGGGGTGGCATGTGTATTGAACATTCCATTCCCATTCCCTCTGAAGGGAAGGATGTTTTGACTTTTCTAAAAGTCTGATAAGATGCACAGCTTTTAGCCTGAAAAGCTATAATCAAACTGAAAAGATGGAGTTGTTTGCAGCTTTCTGAAATCTACTCCTGTTGCAGGTATCTTTATCTCCTACATTTAAATTTGAATGTATGGTAACCAAGATTCCCAATTGTCTAATACAGCTGCTATCTATTGTCTATTTCTTTTAAATATTAATTTGATAAATTGGACAGAGTTTCATCCCTTGTAATGGGAGCAAACTGTTTGTGCGGTGTTCTTCAGTGCACATGTTTACCAAAGGCAACCAGAAGTGCTGTTGCATGGTACCCCTGCCAGTGCTCTGAACTTCCTCTCCACAGATCAACTCATCTGTGGAATTAAAATGTTAAGTTCCACCTGGCAGTGTCTGCACCTGAGATGCCTCCTGGTAGTACATTGTGCACACAGGATACTGAAGACAATGATTGTCAGGAAAAGAGAAGAAAATTGATTGAGCATTTTTTTTTTATTTGTTGGCTAGAAGGAAGAAAAAAATGTTAAATTAACCCAACATAAATGTCCGTAAAGGTATTTGAGCTGTTTAGTAAAACAAAAAATGGAATAGTATTCATTCTACTTTAAACAATTTTTGTTCCAGCTTCCAAAGTTCGATGTAACATTTTATATGTGAAATAATACATGCAGTTATATTTCTAAAGGAGGCAACTTTAAAAAATAGAAATTTGAATAATATTGTTTTAAAATAGTCAAAAACATTTACTCTTTTGCAACTTTTCAAAGGCTTTTGATTCTGCTTAGCTTGACTTTTGCTGTAGTGTGAGGATCAAGTATGGCTCAAGTATAGAAAGGCAGTGGTGTGAAATGACAAGGGTTGCTTTTCATCAGGGCAAGAACAGAGCTTATTTGCCCCTTTCTCTTGTATGCAATGTAGATGGCAAGAGAATGTACTAGGCTGGGAGTGGGAGAGAAGACAACTGTTTCACAGGAAAATAGGAAATCAGAGGGAAAGGGAGGTTGCAGGTTCAAAAAAGGGAAAATCAAAAGACATAGCAAATAAGAATGGTAAAAGAAGTTATTTGGGGAAAAGACAAACAAAAGAAAGCAAGAAATTGAAAGAAATTAAAAGAACAGTGGGTAGATTTTTTGCTAATATAAATCACCACAGCATTATTTGCTGTCTTCACTCAAACTCTTCCCATTTATGCCAGCAATATGTAGTACAAGGGATAAAATCACTCTGGAATGGGAGACATGATCGAAAAGAAAGAAAAGGGTGTGGAAGTGAGAACACACCACATTTAGGTCACAGAATGTAATTTAATTTATGTTCCAGAAACACACATGTATTTCCATAACAGATGTTTTTGGGTTTCTAAGTTTGGGTGAAAGGGATGGGACGGCTGGTTATTTTGAGCACTTGTTATATTGCTATTACTAGATAATGACCGTGGATTATGTAGTTAAATATTAGAGTTGCCATGGTTGCTAGCTGTATCTTATATTCTTAGCACTGGCTGGTTTTCTCTTTTTCCTCCTCCAGACAATTCTAATATAACTCTCCAGAAAATATCATTTGATCACCACCTGGTGTAGGATCACTGCTTTTCTTTGTCATAGATATGATTTCTTTGCCTTCTTTTACCCATATTACAGTAGACATGCAGTGGAGATGTCCGCTTCATTTTGTGGGGTCCTTCCGTATGCTTTAGCGTGCTCTCATGACCATAGGACTGTTTCTAAATTCTCAAGTCCAGATGGTTTCTCCAAGTACATTATTTTTCAAGTGTCTTTCCCAACGTTATTGAGACAAGTAGTCTTCAGACTTTCGGGTAGTGCAGAAAAAGATTGGTGTAAACCATAAAGGTAACCTTTTATCTTAACATTTTTCCCATTCTAGACCTGATTTTTCATCATCTCACATGTATCCAAAATACATGTTACTTGTCAAATAGTGGAAATTACAGCTTTTCTAATACAAAGAGAAACCTCAACTTGCCCTATTGCAGTGATGAATACTTAGAGAACGTTTTATGTGCTGGCATCTCAGACATATTTTAATTTACATTAAAACAGGCTGTCTCATTGTTTTAAAAAATTAATTAGTAGACTTTGAACACGCAAAGGTAGTCTCCTCAGACAGCAGTTACCTTACAGGGTCTCATGATTCCTCCTGATGTGAAAGCCATGTCAAATATGGGAAGAGTAAATAATCTTATGGCTAGCAGATCACATAGACACATGTTAGCTGGGAAGAAATGTGTAGTACCACAGATGCATGATCCTGAATATGTTGTTCACAATGGGGGAAAGGCAATTCTGCCTCTTTGCACTGTGGAGGCTGTTTTCCTTGAGTCTAGTCCATCTCCAAATACATTTATCTCCAGATAGATTAATCTGCTTCCTCTGTCACTTTTCTTGGTATTTATTCTTTGTGATTATTACTGTCAAGGGAATCTGTTCTCTGCATGGTCAGTCATTAGGGCCAGAAAAAGAGAAATAATTTCCCTAAGACCATACTGTGTTTTTCTCCTGCTCTGGTAAGGCTTGTGGTTCATTGGTTCATTATGCAAATCACATTCATCTTCTCGTCCCACCCAAACCCCTCCCCAAAAAAGAACACTTAAAGTGTACATTACAGATTATCTCAAAGCTTTGAGTACCTCAGAACCATTTTAGAAAATACTTTATCAATGCTGTTAATATTTAAACTCAGGGTAACCATTAACAGAAAATACAGATTACACAGTGCTAGATCTATTTATTAAGCATCCATAACAAAGGCTAGATGGTGCAAGAGCTTAGTATGGTGTTCTTTAACCCCTGGAAGTTAAGTTCAAATCCTGGATTAGATCAGAAGCAAATATTAGTTACTGTCCTCATCCTTTGTGAGCTTCGTAAACCACACCATTCATAACATTTAGCAATTCCCTGGTACTCTAATTTTAGATCTCTGTGGCAGGCTGGCAGTATTTGCCTGAAACATCACCCTACCCTGTAAACAGGTGTTGATCCTGATGGGAAGGCAATAAGTAGGTTCTGCTGACTCAGAAGCAGGCAATTTTACTAGCTCAGGGCAAGGAAACGGCTTTCTGTGAGGGAGGTCCTAGAGTGTGGACTACAGCAACGAGTATATTTTGATCTTAATGCATTTTTATATTTTGTTTAATAGCAAAGCTAAATCGCGGGGCAGGGGGAGTTATCTGTGCTGCTTGAGTATTACTGGAGAGCAGCATGGAGCCATGCCTGCACATAGCCTCATCTTATCAAATCAGGACTGACATTCATTAATAGAGCTGAGTTTGCACACTGTCTGTCTGTGCCACTCCTGGCTCAAGCCCAAATAGAATAATTAATACCTTTCTCTTACTCGTTCTATAGAACTCCCCATGGAAAATGTTTACCTGCTTTTAAGATGCAGACTACTTATTTGGGTGTTCACTGCATCTCCTTTTAAGAACCTCATAAGTGTGAGAAAAGTAAGGAAGAATGGTTCTGAATTAATTTGTTAGGAACACTTCTGAGCCAACAGTCTGTAATTTGAAAGAGCTTAATTTAATCCTTCAGTCCAGCACTGCACCAGTAGAATAACTGCAAAGAAATATTGCTGAACCTCTCTTTTGGTCCTAAGAGATGAAAATCTTCAAGAGGAAGCTGTAAGAGACTGAAGTGATTAAAGCTGCTGGACTTGTAAAATCTCATTGTCCCTAAATGCATTTCTCACTCTCTAAAGCATACACGCAATTACTCCTTTGTGTCCTGCAGTCCCATTAATAGGAGCTGGAGTGTCAAACCATCTAGCAAGATCAGTTCATCTTGGTGAATTTGAAAATTAGTTGATCTAGCATTGCCCAAGCAAAGAGAAATGAATTTGTTAATGGCTTGCTGCTCTTAAGTTTTTTACAACTATATTGTTAATAGAACAAAAATATGCTCTTGATATTTTCTCTTGAAGACCTGATTGAACATACCTTTTAGCTGGTGAAAGGAAAGAGAAGAGGCTTTGCTGCAGCATAGCTGCTTATGCATTACCTCAGTGGTATAAAACAAAGTGAACATAATTAGCTACAGGAGAATTTCTATATACTGCAACTTTTGGATGATTTAAAATTTCTGTAATGGCTGCTAACTCTTCTTTTTTTTGTGTGTGTATGGAAACACAGGAGAAATGAGTGTGCCAGAGGTCTCTTCTAACTTGTGACTCCTCAACTTCAGTAACTGTGACTGTAAACAGTCAGCTAAACCATGGGCAAACAGTGCTGTCACTGAAAGGTGTAGTAATGACAGAGGAAGATCAAACTGATCCTAAAAGAAGGCCAGATAGAAGTGTTTTTCAAAACCCAGCTGCTTACAGTTTTGCTGCTGTAACTGATAGTTTTGCAGCTATAAGTAATGTAAGTGATCAGCAAATACTGAACTGTTAGCTTTTCGTGAATACTGTGACCTGTGGCGATAGAATTACTGATCTGCAGGAATTTCCTGTCTGAAAGCACTGGTCTAGCTTGACAAGAGGGCTCCTTTAAAGACTGCAGCAAAAGCTATTCACTTTGAAGGCATTACATCTTCCCACCGATCACCTACAAACATTGTTTTGACATGACTGAGAAATAAAGTCACAGGGGTTTGAACAGTTAAAGATTAACTAATCTCTGAGATAGAGTGATCAAAAGAACTAAGAAGCTTTTAGAAGAGACTTCCTGTAGCAGGAGTGCATAAATGATTTGACTTAAAGGGGAAAAAAAGCAGAGGCCAGGCTAGCCTGCTGGGTAACTAAGTGGAGAGCGATTAGATACGCTGTGAGTTACTCATGCCTTCAGTGTGTTTTGTTTTAAGGCCTCTTTTATCTTAACTTGTGCTGAGGTAATTTCAGTTGATACTATACAGAAGACTCTAGCTCCTGGCCAGCTCTGGGAATACAGAGCACTGTGTGACTCCATCCAGAAAGACACAACAGTTTGAATCCTCCTGTGTCTGCTCTTAGAAAAACCAGGAGGGGTCAGGTTTGCAGCTCTATCACTCTTCCTCAGCAGCAGGGCTAAGATCTGAGCATAAACAGATTACAGAAACAGTGTATGTACTTCAGATTCATGTGCCTAGTATTTACTAGAATCATTTTTCTTTGTAGCAGAGAAAAAGAAACCAGGTGTACTTCTCAGAATTTACTGATAAAGCTAACCAACAGAACAAAATTCCCTTGTTCTCTTTCAAATATGTTTAGTATTGAGAGAAAAAGAAATTGTTATTCAGGCAAAGTATTAGCATGCAGTCTCCAGGAGCTTAATGCTCCCCCATGAACTACACGTTCAGCTCTTGCTGAAGTTAGAGATACTTGAAGGCCCTCAACATTTTGCAGCATTTGGTCACTGGACAGCAAACCTATAACAGATTTTTGCAGCTTCATGTTCTAAAAGGGAAAGAAAGACTCTAACAAATTGGTTTCCTAGGCCTCTATTTCACAACAGCTCAGGTAATACCATGTTAACACCCTATAGTCCAGCTTTAACCTTACACGCAACAACAAATTTTTGCATCCTGCCGTTTTTAATCTTTGTTTTTTTCATAATCATCAGAAAGGAGCTGATTGCCAGGCTGGAACAAGTGGAAAAAGAAAGCATGGATGCTGCTCAGCTGGCTAAGGAGTACGCAGAACTGACAGAGGAGAACCGAACGCTGAAGCTGGCCCAGACGCAGTGTGTAGAGCAACTGGAAAAGCTCAGAATACAGTACCAAAAAAGACAGGGATCCTCATAACTCTCAACTAGCTTATGTGAGGCGGTTAATACGGGATTGGTCCTGTGCTGGAAAGAGATTTTAAAATAAAGGTCTGTTTAATATGTTATAATACTTTACTACAGATACAGAGTATGTAGAAGTCTATATTTGATTTAATGCTTGCCAGCCAGTAGCTTAATATAATGGATATTTCATCCATTATATAATGGATATTTTATTTCAAGTAACATAATTGAAGTTAACCTATCCCCATTATATGTTCTAGTAGATCAGGTTTCTTTTCTAAACATATTTCTTCCAATTTAAGAAGATATGGACACACTAGAAAATTATATAAATAGTCTCTGTGTTGGGAATTTGGACCATACTAAGGCATACAGCAGGGACAATGTTAATATATGGAATACATGTATGTTAATTTTAGTTTGGTGAAGATTTTTTAAATTATTTTCCTCATGCCTAAAATATTTGGAAGTTATCTTAAAATGGATCTCCTCACGGGTAAAAACTATACTTTATTATCCCATGACAACTTTACATTGTTGTATAAAATCTGAGAAATTGCACATTAAAAACTGAAGTAACATAATTATTTTTTATCAAACTAATGTACTGCCAGTAATAATTTGCAAATTATGAAATTAAAAGGAAACAGATGAGATCAAACTTTCCTTCCTCAAGCGTAAAGATAGCTTGAGAGTCATTTTATTGTACTTTTTGGCATGCAAGAAATGAAAAATTAATATAGGAGTACTAATTAATATAGGAGTACTACTATCATTGTTTCAGCTGAGAATATGTCAGTAAAAGTACTGTGAGAATATCTTGTTCTTATTTTCCAGCCTGTTTTGAAACAAAGTGGCTGTAAGTAGGGACAGGAGTTCCATGATATACACATAACCTGGAAGTAAAATGTTAGTTTTACTTGCTCTATTTATCCCTGTATTTTCCTAGATCAATGGAAAATTCTTTGTTATACTTCCATTTCTATTCATACAGTATTTTTTTCATTAAAAGCAGATATAGAAAAGCCATTTTATGTTCTGAGAGTTCTTAAATTACTCTGTATTTTTAACTCTGTTTGACAGGTGCAGTTTGTTACATCTTCATGAGGATGGAATTCAACTTGATGTGTCATTAGTACTAAAATGTATCTTGGTAATTGAAAACTATGAACTTAAGATTTCCACCAGAACCTTAGCTTTGATTATTATCACTAATCTATTCTAAAAAATGGGATTTTTAAAAATCAATCCCCCAAACAATTCTTGGGGAAGGTTTTTGGCACCAAAATGTTCCGTAGTAATTCCAGCAGGAAAGGGGACAAACCCCCCCCTCCATTTCTCTCTGCTACCTACAGTATTCCCTGCAGCACAGGTATGAAAATAGGCTCCATGTTACTACAAGCACCTGACACTGCAGCAGAAGGGTATGAGGAGGTAGTGGGAGAGGACAACCTTGTCTCCACTTCTTCTGAGCTGCCAGGGCAGAGGCAGTGTACAAGTGCAGAGACATGAGGGGAAATCACCACTCTGAGGCATGTGCTTTCTGCTGGGCTGCTCCATGGGCAGTATAACACTGTGTTTGTTCTTCTTTCAGAGCACACTGTTGTCGCAGGGTCCAGTTTTCACTATATCTTGTGAAAGCTGGAGAAGAAAAAAACATAATGAATAAAAACCACTTGGAATGACAAGCCTAGGAGTGCTGGAAAAGCCTTGTCTGAGTTTTGTGCTGGTGACAAATATACCCTGTACAAACTTCAGGGTTTTGCTTGGAGCACAGGATGCTGCATAATCTGGGATATATTATTTTTGTCTGTATTTATGTGTTTTGAACAACAGGATTGTCATTTTCAAAATTAATTTGATTATTTAGTCATAGATTTTTCTCTCTAGCTTTAAAAACATCAACCAGTCTGGTGATTTCAGTGAATTCCTGGGGAACTGCACAAAGTACTTAAAATTATTTCATTAGCAAACTGACTTTGGATGCAGCTGAATCAGACAGCAGAACTTTACTTACTGATAACTTTGTTCACCTTGAAATTTTCAATTGAACTGTAGCCATTATGTTTTAGATGTCAGGATAATATCAGATTGTACTCTGAAAAAAAAACCTGAGGCAGAGCCAAAACCATGTAGAGAAGTGAAGCTGAACATCCTTTGTGACACACAGGGATTTGAGAGCAGCCAGGGAATATGGCTTTTCTAACCTATAGAGACGACCAGTATGGAATTCTTCAGGAAACATTTTTACAGGTGTACAGACACCAAATCTGTGGTGTGGTCCAGCTACCAGCCTGGCTAAATATGGAACTCTTAAAACATCCCAAACTAATTGAAATCAGAGATCTGTATTTAATCTGCTGTGGCTACTTGCAAACAAATTTTCCTCTTACTTTTAGTTACGGTGAAAGTAAAAACTTACTGCTTTCAATTAGTATATTTGCCTGCCGGTGTGGGTGCTCATGTGTCTGAGAATAGTGACTCAGAGAAATTGCATCACAATCCAAATGAGTAAAACTGAAATAGAAGTACCAAGAAAGAAAAACTAAAGTATCTATCTCATGAAAACAAATTTTTGAAGGAAAAATATCAGTGAAATGGGATTCAAAGAAAGGATGGTAAATAAATAGAATTTTCTAAAAATATTCACAGGCAAGTGAAATTAAAATGCAGGAAAGTCAACATAACCCAGAGAATCATTCAAATGTTGTAAAAGGGCTAGAACAGCCTTCTGACAGGTAACCGCTGTATCTATCATCCATCTCTTGATTTTTTTATCAAGAGCATAATAATTATAAACATTTTCATGTTCAATAAATCTCCAATTTTGACATGCTGAATTTTTCTATAGATGTTACTTTGAACTGTTTTGAACTCTGCAGACTGAATACCTGAAATTGTTATATTTATGCTGTAGTTTCCAAATAGATAATATGATTTGTGTCCTTCTGTTATTTAATGAGAGACCTTACATTGTTCTGCTAGCTAGGTCCATTGTGAGTATGGCACTGTAAAAAAGCATTTCATACAATTATTTCAAATATGTTTTTACACTGTTTTTTTACCCAAGAACTTAGAAGCCAGTTTCAGCTTTTGAGGTCAAATGCCAATGAAATGTTCAACTTTATAACCTCTGACCACAGCCTGTGACAACTGCAATGGTATTCAGCAAAACAGCAGCGCAGTCTGAGGCTCTCGCTCACAATTCACCAGTGGTCAGAAGGCAAGGAAAGGGATGTGGAAGGCTCAGCTGACAAGTTGCTAAATGCATACAGGTACGTACACAGTCTGTCACACAGTTAAAGTGTGATTCTTGCTATTACCCAGGTTACTCGGGTTGGCAAAAGTAAGTGTGCCACTGCAATGACAGACGGACTTGCTTCAGACCACTTAAGAAAACAGTCAGTGAAGTACTAAGGTTTAAAAAAATAAGACCTGTGCTTTCCATTTCCTATTATTGCTAACTAACTTCCTTCCATGGTAACAAATGCTGAACAAGCTCAATTGAAGCATTCCAGTTAGCAAGGATATGACTCATGCACTCTGGAAATAGAGAGAGGCTAGGGCGATTTTACACTTGAACGGGCTGGAAGATAAGGACCTGCAGGTTTGGATTCAGTGGGGTTTTTTAATGTTTCCCTTTCCAGGATTATCTTTATTCTGGTTTGTTTTGTGAATTACTGATCTTTGGAAGTGTGTCACCTCCCCCCAGAGGCTTTATTGCCATCTAGGCCTGTGTGAGCATTACACACTCTTCATAGTGGGTACAAATATGCAAGGGTGCAACACAGAGGTGTTCTTATCCTTCCCTTGGGCTCTGTGGTTGGGGAGCTCTGGCACATGCCCATTTACTGCTCGAACTCCAGTCACAGACCACCTTGCAGAAACGAGCTAGTTTGACGCAGTCTTAGTCATGGAATCACCTGGTGGTTTTTCCTACATAAAATTATTTGCTTGTTCAATACTCAAGACAGAAGTGTCTAGAGGAGCAGGAGAGACTTGTCTGGAGGAGCCTTGCCTCTCTTCTCATGAAGGGTGTAAGATGTGCAGTGATCAAAGAACAGGATTGTGGGGAAAGGAAGTTTGATCCAGGCAATGATGTAGCAGGACGTAGCACTGGCCCTGGTCAGCAGGATTACGAGGAGAGTTGACAAAACCCGAGTGCTGGCATGACTTTTCTCTCCCATGCACATACTTCCACAGACATATGTCAACACCCACAGCCTTAGGATCTTCTCCTTCCTGTTAGAGTGTCTTGGCATGTATATGCATGGACAATATGTTAATATGGTGATGACTGTCCATGGAAAACCCATGATGAAACTATTAACTGTCTTCATGACAGGCCTGGAAGGTGTTTGGCAATGAAGGCCGATTACTGAAAAGTTGCCCCTCATTGTCCATCCTGCTGGGCTTTCTCTGGGACAAGACCAGACATTGTGACTGCACAGTGCACATTCATGAGGGAGGGAAGCAAGGCAGAGTTAGGCATGGTTGGCTGGGCAGACTCAATCTTACCCTTTCCCCCACTGAGTCCCATGGTTTTGCAGTGTTAAAGTGAGTTATTGAGATGGTCCTTCAGAAGCACACCAAAACTGTGGCGCTGACATTTTAAATTCAAAGAAGTCAATTATTTTGTAAGAATTAAACAAAAACTACCTTGCTTGGGACTACGGCAGTCACCTCTAGGTTCTTGAGTGCTCCTTACAAGGAATGTCATGCATTACTCACACCTGTATGAATGAAAGATGACAGTCATTCACAAATTACTGTTAACCTCAACCCAGGCTTTCTAGACTGCATAATCCAGTGGTTTACACTGTAGAAAGCACAAGATTTAGTGTATGAGTCACTCAGCTTTCCTACACGCCAATCAGCAGTTCCCCCTTCTAAACCTCATTTCCTTTAATCTCCCCTGACCACAACCCATGCATCTGTACCCACTACTGCGTAAGCAGCACCAAGCCAGAGCTCAGATCCAGTTGACTGGTGATCTCATGATGTGGTCCGATGATCACCGTGTGCTTGAGATGGTTTCCAATCATTACAGTCGTACAATGTTTTGTGATTCAGTGCTGGTATATGGCAGCAAGGCACCCTGCCAACGTGCAGATGCTGACTGTGAGGTATGCCATTGTTCTTTGAACTGGTTAGGAAAATAGGACAGCAGGTGGTCTCTGGATTTAGTTATTTGTCTGAATTTTTAAATTAAATTTTAATACAGAAGTTAGGGAAATGAAACAAGGATGTGAGTGCTGATGTGACAAATTTGTGGCTAGATGCCAGGCTGTGCCTTGGGTGCTCAGAATGAGTAAAGTGATATGAGAACTGCAAGTGGTGGAAAGGAAGTAGTTACAGCTAGGAAGAGGAACTGGTGAGTGGGCTGTGTGTCTTAGCTGCTTTCCTTCTTGCTTCTTATGGCTTGCACCAGTGGGATGTATCGGCTGTTGTTCTTAGCTCAAAATTAAAAGGCTTTTCCATGCTTTGTCTGCACAAACATTTTATACTGGAATATTTACTTCATCTGAGGTTATATTTTTGTCTAAAATGCCTAGTATAAACAGAGCTATAGTGTGATAAACATGCTCAGAGCACTGCAGATGGTTCTTCTATAGAAAGAGGAATAAGCAATATCAGTGTATGACTCTATTCTGCTAATCATAGAATCACAGAATATCTTGAGTTGTCAGGGACTACTAAGGATCATCAAGCCAAATACTGTGCCAAATGCTGTATTTGCATTAAAGATAAATAAATTACAGTCTTAGTAAATAGCCTAAGTATAGTAAAAACTACACTGAAGCTAGAGCACTTTTCTACTGAAATAGGTGGATCCCCACTAATGGGCTTTTGCTGCTTTCATTGCACAAGGAGAGTTTGGTGCTTTTATTAAATAGATCCCCAGTTACCCACATGAAGGAAGAGTGACATGATGTGATGTCATGTGATGTGATGTGATCAAAACCTTCCACCTATGTCTTGTGACTTTCCTACAAGCATATGACACATCTAGGTGCACAGGTCA